AAGTTCCGTGTTTAAGAAATAGAAAACATACGAATCTTCTCATTTCATGGGAATATCCTGAGTCTGCAATCACAGCTTCAATTTTTGAATTGTAGAATAATTAGATGCACTATCTAGTGTATATAAGATATCTATGTTACTAGTTCGTGAAACAACGGCAGATTGTTGAATACTGCTGTACTTGTTAACAGTTAACTTCTTTACCAATCCAAAACATGCTTTTATCATGTTCAACATTGAAGTGATTTATTTTCCAAATACGAGCTCCATCACTTGATCAGGGAATGAATGAAATGTAAAGTTAAGAGTCTAAGGAGCCTAAACATTCAAAGCAATGAACGCAATCAGCCTTTTCGCGCTCCTTTTATTCGCCATTTTTTAAGAGTGTAAGCACCGCGACTTGTTATCACTGTATAGTTGTGTGCGTAGTGGTAGATTTATGTGAAAATCTTTCACATTATTTAGATTGATTCTCTGACGTGGGTAGACATTACCCCCAAGATATGCGCCCGTGTGAGGTTAATTAACTAATCTGACAACATTGTAGGATAATCGTGTTGTTTTAAATCAATAATAAGCATGAAGGGATTGTATGAATGAGTTTATCTAGCGTAGGTGATGTTGTTCGTTGATGCAATTGTTACAATTGATATATTACTGATCTAACTATGTGCTACAACTTTGAATGTCAGATGTTGAGATCCGAGGTAACCGCGTTTCCTGCATGTGACTGGAGCTGGCTCAGAAGTTAGGTCAACCTCGGTCAGAAGTTCTTGTGCATGCTAGTACAGTAGAAAATTTCAATTTTTCCCAGTATCTTTTTGCAATATTTACCAACCAGATTTAATAAGTGTCTCCTTTCTATAACATTCTCTTTTCTATTTTCAAATTTTGCATGTGTGGTTTGACTAATTTCCTGCCAAATTTTATTTATCAAATCTCAAGGCGCGAAGCTCTGGTGGCCCATTCCCCCATCGCAAATCGCAAGCTACACGGTTCCAAACCTGTTCCAGCTCCGAGAGCTAACTGCCAATTTTTTTTGGTAACCTGCGAAAAAGTAAATATACAGGCATGGGACTAATAATGGAATGTTTTCATTCCAGAAACCAAAGAATGGCAATGCCAGCGCAGCCACAGAGTTCCTCACAACAGTCTCAGGCTACACATGCAATTCAAGCACGACGTATCTCAAGTTGGGCAGCCATTCGTCCGTTACTCATATCTCATGCTTGTTTTGATAAAATAATGACGCCAACAGTCGTGAACGCTATTGGAGGACATAAAGTTCTTGTCACACCGCTTGAACTATTCTTGTCTTGCCATTTACTCTTGATCTATTTCAAGAAAGTCATTGCTCCGAAGTTTGGAAAAACTCTGGTAAGTCAAGTATATGATATAAGCATTGCATGGATAATAAAATACATGGATAGGAAACTAGCTGACGTGACCTAATGTTTTCAATGGGATGATGGCGTTGAAATCTATTTGCAAACCAAATTTTCAAAAACGGCATGTTTAGCGATAATACAGCTAAACATTTTAGTCAAAGAGCAAATAAATATAACCAGGCCATTCTACGATGAAACCTCTAAGTATTCCCAGTCAATTTTAGCAAATATTTCAAGCACTAAACAGTGAAAAATGCATCGCAAATTTCGTAAAAATTGGCGACGCCAATTTCGTAGCTACAAATGTTAAAAAATACAAAACAAAGACGAAAAACATTTACCTTGAATACTTTGTCGTGGCTTAGGCATGTTTTTAAAACAATTAGACCAGTTTATGCTTCAATATTACTCTTTTAAAGCGGAAAATATAGCGAAACAACAAAAATGCTGAGAACCAAATTTGGCAATACACGTGACGTCATGGATTGCAACTAGGTTTAGACTGTGACGTCAGGAAGTTTCCTATCCAGTTATTTTACAATCCATGATATAAGTCAAGTTTCTTTTAAATTATATAATATTTGAATAATTATATATGATATAATTATTATTAATGATTGAATGAATGTATCAATTCATTGCAACCCAACTGTATCTCCCATTAACGCGCAACATTTCTCTCTTAAAAATCGTCTTGTATAAAAACATTTTCTTCCGAAGTCCAGGGACTGGTTGTTCGAAAGCCGATTACATTAACCCTAAGTTAACCTAAAGTTTCCAAGCAAACGTCCCAACGGAGCCGTTTATGAACTTGGAAATATTTCTTAAAAAATCTTGCATGGATCAGTACGGGTTTTCTTCGCTGAAGTTTTGAAATAGACACGTGGAGAAATACATAAACTAAACCAGCAGGTTATATTTTAACCGAGGTTAGCGCTAATCCAGCTGTGAATCACCTGCCCAGAAAACTTAGAGCAAACATGAGTACAAACTAAATTATGGATTTTATGTGTATTTTCAGGGTCACATCCGAGGCAAAGCTGATTTAAGTGGACTTAGCTTTAAGACATCCAACCTGAAATTATCCGTGGTTTTAGACGCGACTTTTACATCTCTTCATTTAGATGTTCAACCATTACAAGGTAGGAACACGTAACGGAGTATTTTAACCACAGAATAGAGACCTTACAGAAGACAGACTTCTTGGTTTTGGCTATGATTTCAGTGGTAATCGTTGCAATGCTGTCGCCATGTTCCTAACCAGTACCCTTACGAGAGGCATTCATCCCTCCCTGAAAACAGTCAAAATGGCGAATGTTTAGGGGATGAATGCCTCTCGTAAGCTTACTGGCTAGGATGATACCGAGGCATGCATTGTAATGACGAGTCATTGAAATTGTCTGAGTTTTCATATTTTGATTAAATTTTGCAAATGGTTTTAATTACTAGTTTTTTTGTTAAATAACTTACCCTGTCGTTGGGATTCAAAGAATTTAGCACAGATTCCGCTGCACTGACAGCAATTTGGATTAATGTTTTATTGCCAATAATATCTGCCATGGAGCCACTTTTATACAATACAATACAATATACAAATTTATTTAGAACCTCCCCTTAGGGCTTTTCAGGTCTAATTACAAGTTTATAAGTTACAATTTACAAGTAATGAGTTTATAAATTACAATATTTAGTATAGATATAAAATTGAGCGTATAAATTCAGAATTTAAAAAGTTATGTATTAGTTTTAAAAATTAGGCATTAAGGAGCCAGGTCTTTAATGACTGTTTAAAAGTGTTCAATGAAGTACTCTCTCTAACATTGTTCGGTAAACTATTCCACAATTTAATAGCTCTGTATCCAAATGAACGTTGGGCAAAGCTTGTTCTACATTTTGGGATATCAAGATTATGGCTATTACGAGTGCTACGATTGTGTACGTCAGAACGTCTCTTTACAAAATTTTTTAAATACAACGGTACACTACCGTTAATAATTTTATATACCATTTGAGCATCACGATAAGCTAACATGTCCTGGACTGATAACCATCCAAGGTCTTTAATTGTGGATGAAATATGGTCAAATTTCCTCTTGCCAGAAATTATTCTAGCAGCAAAATTTTGAACCAGTTGTAATTTCTTTATATTCTCTTTAAAGGTACCTGCCCAAACAGTCGAGCAATAATACAATTTACTAAACACAAGAGAATTGATTATAGATATCAGAGTTTTCTTATCGAATAAGTGTTGAACTCGGCTGATCTGACACAATGATCCCATAAGTTTAGATGTAAGATTCTGGGTATGATCGGTAAAAGAAAGACATTCGTCCATTATTATTCCAAGATCTTTTGCTCAGCGAACTGGGGTTAATTCCTCACCAAGAAATTGTAATGGTGGTAGATTAATCTTGGCCAGAGCTTGCTTGGTTCCAAACAAAAGAAATTTGGTTTTCCCTGGGTTTATTAACAAGGAATTTGAACAACACCAGGCAGCAACTCGTTTTAAATCTGCATTCAATTTATTCATACTCTCGGCAATATCATTGATTGAGAATGATATGAAGAGTTTTGAGTCGTCCACGAACGATTCGATCTTACAGTCCTTACACATGCTGCTAATTTCATTAACATACAAGTTAAATAGTAGTGGACCCAAGATTATCTTTGCGGTACGCCGTGTGTAACACGCTGCATATCAGATAAATGCTGTCCCACTCTAACAGATTGAACGCGCTCGCTAAGATAACTTCGAAACTAGACAGTAGCTGACGCACTTGTTCTAAACTTTCGAAGTTTTTCCAACAGGATATCATGACTTATACTGTCGAACGCCTTGCTTAGATCCAGTAATATCACAGCTCTAAGATTCTTTCTATCTATAGATTAATATATACACTCCGTTAAAAACAGCTGCAAAGTTTCAGTGGAATGGTTTTTACGGTTACCACTCTGGTGTTTATTTAACTTATTAGTTTCAATCAAATAATCAGTAAATTGTTCCAATGCAACACGTTCAGTGACCTTTGATAGTACGGGTAGCAATGAGATAGGTCGATTATACGATAACAGGTTGTTGGTTACTCCTGCCTCGAGTTTTGTAAATTGATACTCGATAAGGATTTGACCGGCAATTTATAAACCGATCGATTTTGTCGACCATGCCATATCGACCACGCGTACGCATGCAGTTCCCATGGTAAAGAGTAGACTGCCTTGTGGCGACAAACCGACAGTGCGTGCTGGATCTGCAAAACAACTTTTGTTATGATCAAGTGGAATAATATAACAAACTCCCTTGCCTGCCGTAGTTTAGTTGTTTGGTTAGGTTGTTGGGCAACCGCTATACAGGGTGTATAAAAAAAAGGTAATCGAACTTCAGCGCGCTATTGTATCTGAATTACTCTGCGTATGAACGAGATTTTTTCACATTCGGAAAGATCATGCTTTTAGCTGTTGAATGATATCTTCTTCGTACCAAATGGATAAAAAATGAGCAAATACGAATCTGATAAAAAATGTTAGTCAGAATCACATATTTTCACCGTTGAGAGTTGGGTCTAAAACCATTGAAAATGAACCCCCTTTAGGACTTAAGTTGATGAATTTCACTTCATTCAAACTGCACATTACCAGAAATATGGGACATTTTGCGCCCGCGTTTGTAGGCAGCGGCTAATCGCTTGAAAAATCAAAATGGCGACTCGAACTGCCAAAGGCAAAGGACGTGTGCCATTCCTTACGAAGTAGTTCTTCGATACGTTGGTTACCGGGTTTTAAAGCAAACCATTTGTCTGACACAGTTAAATTAAATAAGTGAACATAATTTACATTTTCACAGGAAGTTGTTTCGCGAATATTTTTGAATCGCGAATATGTTGAATCTCCACACAAAAGAAAATCTTGTTAAATAAGTCCACTTGTTGCCTAACATAAGTAAGAGGAGCTTCAGAACTTACATTCAATTTCCAATCTAACTTTCTTTTGCTGTATTCTTCGAGCACTTCCGACATTTTGACTTAACCGCGAAAGAGATTTTAAATAACCGCGAAATATCCGCACGCAAATTGCTATATCAACACGAAATCGTGCTACAAAATCTCGCAAATCTCTCTGTTTTTCTTAAGTGAGGGACTGGGTACAAGCTTTGCTAGTAAGCAAGAAACATGGCTGCTCGAAGGAGCCTAAATTTGTATTTAGACTTGTCGTTTTCGACTACAAATATAACCTAATGGCGATAAGTAAGACTCATAAAAGGCAAAGTTTTAAACGATTTTGGAACCGGTTTGGCGCAGAATAACCTGGGATATGTTAAGCTATACTGACAGTTTGAACATCGCTAAATACATCGCGAAGTCCGCAGTTTACATCGCGCGAAAGAATGTTGGTCTATTCGGCGGAGTTTAACCTCATGTATGGCAAGATTACTATAGATTACACTATGAAATACTTCGAATTTCTAGTGAAAATACACCGATCGCGGGAACCACTTAGACGTGTAGAAATGCTAGCGATTTTGGTTTACAAATACTGCTTGTTCGTGCTGTTGTTATTATCGAAGTCCGCAACCATGAGATATCTAAACAAAGTAGGTTAAAATTTGACATTTTTGTAAATCCCTGTATAGTTTATAGTAATATTTAGTCGCCATATTGGGGCAATGTGCGCATGTCCGTCTCCATCTTGTCCCATATTTCTGCTAATGCACTGTCTGAAATCTAAAATTAGCTGGGTTCACTTACTATATTCACTTACTATACTATGTCTTGTTTCACATGTGTGCACTAGTGTCCTTAAATACAATACAATAACGTGGTAGATGATTAAAATAATAGAATTTTTTAATTGAATTGTTTAGTTGAATTGTCAGGATTTCCATGCAAGAAACTAGGTGCTATTTTGCTTGTCTGAGATGGAGACTATTAGGTGCTGCATCCTAGAAAATGTGAACAGCAAGGTTTACATTGTGACATAATTGAACATGGCCAGCATTCTGTTCCGCTGATACTTTCTTTACAATATAACATGTTTTTAATGGATGAAAAATGAACGAAATGGGATAAAAAAATAAAACAAATAATAAAATAGTGTAAACTGTTGTCCATGCTCACAAGTTACCTGTGACTTATCTTAAAATCACATCGTCTTTTATAAGAATTGCAGTGCAAGAATTTATGAGGAGTTATGAAGATGCTACGAGTCGACCTCATGGATACTTGATGTTGGATTTAAAGCCAACAACAGACGACCAACAATGACTCAAGACCAACGTACTTCCCGGAGAGATTGCATGGATTATACAAAATCAGTCGTAACATCAACCGCCACTTGTAAATGCAATGTATGATCAGGGGCGGATCTAGGATTTTTCGCACGTTAGTCAAAATTTTATGACGTCATCGATGACGCAAAACGTGATGACGTCACTTGACATGACGTCATTTGATGTCAGGGTGATAGTCCAATTTTTGTGGAAATATAGATATTTTGTTTTATCAAACTACAAATGCGTAAGTGACATAATTTTCGTACCTGCCAATGTTCAGCATATGATATATTAATATATAGACTGTTTCGCCCTACAGTCTGAACACAAGCACAGGTTTCTGCCTCCTTAAAACCAGATTGCTTGCCTTCACACCTTTTGCAAGAAGTTTGGCTAGAACTTAGAAATGGGTGCCAATAAAATGAACAATGAACACTACCTAAAATGAGCAATCTGGTTTTAAGGTGCCATAAACCCACCTCACGCCTTTCACCGCAGCAAAAGGAGCTTGGTTAAAAATGGGTGACAATACGGGACATTTCATGGATGTAAAATTGCTTTGTTTTCCCTTTAGCCCTTTCCCCAGTCCTTCTATTACTAACCTATGTCTAATCTAATTGAATTCATCATCTTGTTTTATAATATAAGTGTGATATAACAGACGATTTGATTGGCTAATGCGCGTGCATTGTGACGCAATAATGCACTGTGATCTGTGGCACCTATGGTGGCACTGCTTTGCTCTTTGTCTGTTTTTCTCCCTCTTCATCACTGCCTTTTTGCCAAAATTATACACAAATTACAAAATAATGTAAATAAATGATAATTTTGTTAAAATACAAAATTTACCAGAAAGCAAGAAGGAATAAAACAAAGGAACAAAGCAATGTTCTATAGTTCTACTTATAAAATTAACCGGCTTGGCATTCGTCGAATTTGTTGTTGTCTCGACAAGTTTTGGGTAAAAGCGTACAAAATAGTCGAGAAAAAAACTTGAAAAAGATACAGCTGGAAGACCAAATACATACAAAAAGGCAACAAAAACTGAATATAAGTGATTTAGAAAGTACCTTCAATTCTTCTGATAATAACTGCTAGATATATTTTCGGCAAAAGACAAAAAATACAATATTTTCGAATATGAAAACTGAGTAATAAACACGACGAAACTTACGATTTACCGTCTTTCATGGCAAATCCAGCAGCCCAGATGCTGAAAACCTTTGGCAAATTAGTCAGTGTGTCACTGCTTTTGTTATTTCCACTATTT